AAAAAAAAAAAACACGCCTGCGCGCGCCCAGGCATGGCCAATTCAACAGTTTCATGTGTGCATCAACTGAGCAGCCTGCCAATGTGCAAAATGAGAAGGAATCTCCCGTTAGAACATCGGAAAAAGAAATCCCGGTGTGAGTATGGTCTTAAGGAGCTGTCAGATGCAAATGTTGCCCCCCCCCGGGCGCACGCGCAAGAGAGAGAGAGAGAGAGAGAGAGAGAGAGAGAGAGAGAGAGAGAGAGAGAGAGAGATTTCCATTCATAGAACGAGCAAAATGGAAATGAATCTGTTGCTAGAACATGGAAATATGCACTGCCACATTTTCGGTCTTGGCAGTATAGATTTCCATGTCGTGGCAATGGATACTTCCATGTTCTAGGGGAAGATTCAACCCCATTTGCTCATTTCCTGAAGCGTGGCAATGTCGGTCTGTGTCTGTGTGGGGAGGCTGAGCAAAAAAGGAATGAATCTTAAACCAGAGCATGGAAATATACTGGTCTCATAGTGCTTCCATCCATATGAGCAAAATCGAATGAACATGGTTGATTTGATAGATTGAAAAACAAAAACAAAACAGGATAAGGGGGCGATTTTTATTTGTTTTTTGGATCGATCAATCAATCAATCAATCAATATCCACCCCCCCCTCCCCCCCCTTCAGCCGCCTCAGCCCCTTACCGTTTCCCCTCGCGTCCTCCCGCTCCTAACCCCCTCGCCGTTTCCCCTGCCGCTCCTCCCACTCCTACTCCCGCCTCCTCTGCCCCTTCCCGTTTCCCCTCCCACTCCTTCTCCCACTCCTCCTCCGGCTTCTTTTCCCGCCCCTCCCACTCCCCCTCCTCCTCCCTCTCCTCCTCCCTCTCCTCCTCTGCCAAACAACGTGACAAAGATCCCGCCATAGCCCCGCTCCCGCTTCTTCTCCGGCTCCTCCTCCCTCTCCTCCTCCCTCTCCTTCTCCCGTTCCCCCTCTTGCTGCTTCTCCAGCTCCTCCTGCTGCTCGTCCTTCTCGCGCTGCTTCTCCTGTTCTTCCCCCCGTTCCTCCTCCCCCTCCTCCCGCTCCTCTTCCCGCGCCATAGCCCCGCTCCCGCACCTTCTGGCTCCTTCTCCCACTCCTCCTCCCACTCCTCCCACTCCTCCTCCCACTCCTCCTCCTCCCACTCCTCCCACTCCTCCTCCTCCTCCTCCTCCTCCCCTCCGCCAAACAACGTGACAAAGATGCCGCCATAGCCCCACTCCCGCTCGCTCTCCCGCTCCTCCTCCCTCTCCTCCTCCCTCTCCTTCTCCCCCTCCCGCTCCTGCTGCTGCTCCTTCTCCCGCTGCTTCTCCTGCTCTTTCCCCGGTCCTCCTCCCGCTCCTCCTCGCGCTTCTCCTCCTCCACCTATATCTCCTCCCGCTCCTCCGCGTCCACGCGTTCGTTAACCCCCTCCCCGTCTCCCCTCCCGCTCCTCCCGCTACTTCTACCGCTCCTCCTTCCGCGCCTCCTCGGCCCCTTCTCGTTTCCCCTCGTGCTCCTTCTCCCGCTCCTAACCCCCTCCCCATTTCCCCTGCGGCTCCTCCTCCCGCGCCTCCTCCCGCTCCTTCTCCCGCTCCTCCACCGCCCCTTCCCGTTTTCCCCTCCGCTCCTCCTCCCACCCCTCCTTTTCCGGCTCCTTTTCCCACCCCTCCTCCCACTCCTTCTCCCGCTCCTCCCGCTCCTCCTCCGCCAAACAACGTGACAAAGACCCGCCATAGCCATCTCCTATGGAAAAAAATAAACAAAAAAAGGCCCGCCACGTGGCTAGCCGAGAGAGAGAGAGAGAGAGAGAGAGAGAGAAAGAGAGAGAGAGAGAGAGTTTCCATTGATAGGGTGAGCAACGCACCTGCCAACAGGCAAGTCTCCAACCCCGCGGCTGGCCAAATGCTAGCGAAATTGAATGAATTTTCGGCTACAACATGGAAATATACAGTTCCTCACTTGTGTGTGTATGTGTGTGTGTGTGTGAGCTCTCTCTCTCTCTCTCTCTCTCTCTCTCTCTCTCTCTCTCTCTCTCTCTCTCTC